ATATATATATATACGTATATACACCATATACCACCACATGCATCTTCGTAATAGGCTACATATGTCTGCCATGTCCGGTGTGACATGATTTGTTTGTGTACAAACTAATATGCTATCAGAGTTTTATATATTTATTCTTCTCATTCAACCACAATCAAATTCACTCCATCTAGAAGGCACAATTTATATGGATAGTATTTACATTTTTACAATAAGCTGGAACGAAAACAAGCAAAAATGAAATAAAAGAAACGGCTTTCTACTTCTTGTCTTTTTTTTTAAATGTAAGAAGTAGAAGTAAAAAGTAGACTGAAAAATAATCACTCAAGTAAAGTACAAGTACCCAAAAATTCTACTTAAATACAGTAAAGAAGTATTTGTACTTAGTTGCTTTACAACTCTGATCAGTATTGATATCGATATCGGCTGATATTGGTCATTTTTAGAATATGGTATCGGTCCGCTATGTAAAACATCCGATATTGATTTCCCACTTTTTAACTTTGTGTTTCTGTTTTGGGAGGGGAGACAGTTGGTTGAGCAGCATCTCTTTCATCATAATAGTGATATTGATGCTGCCAGGAATAACTGAAGTAGGGAGCCATGTCAGAGGTCTGGACTTTTATTTACCGTATAAAAAAGACCCAAGTGTGTTTGTGCTTATATATGTAATATATTTTGTGTGTTTGTGTAATATCGATAAATATTGGTTATTGGCCATAACAGCAATAATTATATCGGACATCAATATCGGCTGAAATTTTCATATCGGTGCATCCCCATGTCTGCAGAAACATAGAAAAAATCTAATTAATCAAATACATTCAGTTCCATAGAAGTCCAACTCACGTTCCATTAAATCCTGTCGTAAAGGCTTGGATGAGCCACTCAACATCTTGGATCTTGAATGGAAACAGAACCAGGTGAGTAGAGTTGTCCAAATCTGTAGCACTCTCTGGATACATGACACGATGAGTTGTTTTGGTCCCGACATCTGATTCATAGCCTTTGATTTGAGCATAATTCATTCTAAATATACAAAAAAGACACAAACAGCTACAGCAGGTAAAATAAGTATTGAACACGTCACCATTTTTCTCAGTAAATATATTACTAGAGGTGCTAATGACATGAAATTTTCACCAGATGTTGGTAACAGTTATTTGTAATAATCAGAGATTCTTAACCTATGGGCCGTGGCCCAATTGTGGGCCGCGAGCGCCACCTTGAGGGCCTCAAAGGAACAACAGTTTAACTTTGGACCGCACTGATTTTAAATAAGGTGTAATACACTTTCTCACCACTAGTAGCAGTAGTGCACCACTCAGA